GTATTACAACATTATTAATGCTTTTAGCCCAGAAACACGGGCGTTACAATTCTCTCCCCCTTAGGATGATTCCGTCCCAAGATTCACACATCAAGAAACAAATACGGGTAGCGACTCATCATGTCACTCTCCGTTTCCCATGTGAGATTTGGCCCATTCGTATGTTTCCATTGCACAAGCACTAAATCGACCATCTTGCGTCGTAACTTGTTAGTATTACGGTCAACGATTGCCTCTGGTTCTTCGATTAACCTCTTGCTTTCATCCAGCCTTAACTCAAATATTGGAATTATGTCGGGAACATCTCCCGTGAACTTCCTTAAATAACACACATGGAAAGTGTTATGAATACCATCTAGTTCTTCTGGTAGTTCTAGCTTATAAGCTTGATTCCCAATCCTTTGAAGAACTTTAAATGGTCGAATAAACCTTGGACTCAACTTTCCTCTTTTACCAAATCTTATAAGTCCCTTCCATGGTGAGACTTTAAGCAAAACCGAATCACCAACTTCGAATGTTATCGGTTTTCTTTTCTTGTCAACATAGCTCTTTTGACGATCCTGAGCTGCTAACATCCTTTCCCTAATCACTTTCAACTTTTTAGTAGTCTGATGGACTATCTCAGATCCCATAAGCTGCTTTTCTCCAGCTTCAAGCCAACAAGACGACGTACGACACTTCTATCCATACAAAGCGTGATAAAGTGCCATCTTTATGCTCGAGTGGAAACTATTGTTGTAGGAAAATTCTACTAAAGGTAAATGTTGATCCCAGTTACCTTGGAATTCCAGGGTACATGCTCTCAGCATATCTTCAAGTGTTTGTATTGTTCTTTCGCTCTGACCATTAGTTTATGGATGGTAAGCTGTACTTAAACACAACTTGGTACCCATTTCCTCTTGTAGACTTTTCCAAAATCATGACGTGAAACGACTATCACGATTTGATACAATTGTTAGAGGAATACCGTGAAGTCTCACAATTTCCTTCACGTAAGCATTCACAAGCTTATCCATAGAACATTTTTCATTGACTGCTATGAAGTGTGCACTCTTGGTGAAACGATCCACGACCACCCAAATCATGCCATGACCGCTCTTTGTTATGGGTAGTTTAGTCACAAAATCCATGGTGATGTTTTCCCATTTACCCATGGGTACAGGTAAAGGTTCTAAACTCCCATACGGTTTTCAATGTTGTGCCTTGACTCTTGCACATGTCACACACTCGACCACATACTTAGCAACATTGAGCTTCATCGTGGGCCACCAGTAATAGGGTTTTAAATCCCTATACATTTCGTACTGCCGGGATGAATCGAGTACATGGTCTTGTGAGCATCTTCCATCAGAACATCTCTTACTCCTCCCGTCTTACGTACCCAAATCCTATCTTGGAATACCTTCAACCCTTGGTTGTTTGTACCGAACACTAATGTTTTACCCAAACGTTCTTCTTTTCGGTCATTCTTCTCTAAAGCTTCTTCTTGAGCTTTATTTATACTCTCCACAATTGTTGAGACAACCTCAATTCTCAACGCTCTTGGCCTTTTCTTTTCAAGGTTGACATTCCGACTGGGAGCATCAGCAACAACATTTCCTTTACCAGGGTGATAAAGTATCTCACAGTCGTAGTCCTTGAGTAATAAAGTATCTCACATTCATAGTCCTTGAGTAATTCTAGCCAGCATCGTTGCCTTATATTCAATTCCTTCTGATTAAAGAGATACTGGAGACTCTTATGATCAGTGAAAAGTTTGCACTTCGTACCGTAGAGGTAATGTCTCCATATTTTTAGAGCGAAAACTATCGCTGCCAACTCCAAACCATGAGTAGGGTAGTTCTTCTTCAACTTCTCAAAGGCTTCCTTATGCTTTTCACTCCAAGTATAAGTAGCTCCTTTGTGGGTCAAGGTTGTCAATGGACCAGCTATCGAAGAAAAGCCTTGGATAAACCTTCGGTAATATCCAGCTATTCCTAAAAAGCTTTGGATCTCTGTGGGACTTTTTGGTTGTTCCCACTTCATTACAACTTCAATCTTTGCTGGACCAACCATTATTCCTTTTTGGTTAACCACATGACCCAAGAATTGGACTTCTTGAATCCAAAATTCACATTTGGAGAACTTTGCATACAACTTCTCGTTTTTCAGAACTTCTAGCACTTCACGTAGATGATTTTCATGTTCCTGCTTGCTTTTTGAATAAATCAAGATGTCTTCTATGAATACTATCATGGATTTATCTAGGAATAGTTTACAAACCCTATTCATCAAGTCAATGATAGCTGCTGGGGTATTGGTTAGTCCGAACGACATAACCAAAAATTCATAGTGTCCATATCTCGTTCTGAATGCAGTAGTGTTTATCGATCAACAATAAATTTATTAATTTCATCAAACCAACAATAACCCTGATTACCCATTCCCGTTATCCTCACTTTACGTCCCTAAACACCTATACAAGGGACCTAGTATAAGGATTTTATCATCGCGATGAACACTACTGCTAAGGGGGTTCCTCAACAATAAATGTCCTAAAGGCAACCATGAGGGGGATGGAGTACACCGGTGAACACATCGTTCACAACACCTACATGTTGCGAGCCTGCCAGCGTTCCACTGGACTGTCTAGAAGAGTCCATGGTCGTCATCTATACTCCGCTAGATGACTGGAACAACAACAACATCGAGGCCTCTCATCATTTTAACACACATCAACTATTTCATCTACCCATGTTTTACCTAACATATTTCTAGATAAAATACATATACAGTTTATAACTTATATAAAACATTGTATTCAACAATCATCTCAAATAAAAATCAATATAATTACACATAACACGTATTTTATAGAAAATATTTCATATCTATGTGTAAGATGAAAGTGACTATACACTCACTTGATTTGATGATAATCGGACAATAATTCGTTCCTTAAAATGATCGTTTCTGATAAAACCGGGAGTTTTATTGAGAAACCGGGATCTGCGAGAGTTGGAGCTTCAAAACCGAAAAGATAAAGTTTTCTGGGTTTCCGGGCACTTCGGTACGTATTCCGAGCTTTAAAAATGATACCGGGGCTTCATGGGAAGTCAAATTAGTCAAAATATAAGTTTAGGGGTGAAAAATGACATTTTTCTAATTCTTGTCGGGAGATCTTGCAGCCCCCTTATTTATAGTGTGCGAGACCGAGGGCTTCCTGGCTAAGAAAACTCCACGTAGTGGTTGCGAGGCTCGGTCACGAAGGGATGATGTGGCAGCGAAGGAACGAGGCGCGTGGCAGCAGCGAGGGCGAGACACGGAGGCGGGCTACGAGGCTCGGAGGTGGCCCTGCGAGACTCGGACACGTGGTGCTACGAGGCTGCTTCTGATTGGCCGAGACTTCAGTCCGATGGAATTGCAGCACGCGTCAGATCTGGATTCGGCCACATCTTAGGTGACGCAACAATTTCGTGCGAGATGACTTGGCCGGCTACTGTTCATGCGGATTTTTCGAATTTTGAGCCCGAACTTCTAAAATCCATAAGTTTCACATACGAGCTCCGTTTTTGAAATTCTTTATATGCACGCGTAGCTAAAATTACGTTCTACAACTTTCGTTAAGACTTCATCGGCTAATTTTGAGTTTAATTTTAATATTATTATTTTTAACAGACAGGGACAGGAAAATTTGTTAAAAATTCATAACTTCTTCACCCGACGTCCGTTTTCGTCAGTCTTTTTACCGTTGTACTACTATTGACGAGACCTTCGATTCTTGTTTAGGTTGTGGTGGCTAAATATTGCTCGATCTTAAATTCGAGTATATAGTTGTCTATTGCTAAGCTAAAACTTAGAAAAGTCATAACTTCCTCATACGAAGTCAGATTTGGACGTTCTTTTTATCAAAATTCCCTGTTTAACGAATACTATGACTTTCGTTTAGGTTGTTAAGGCTAAAAATCACTTTATCGCAATATTCACTTTTTACGCTTCCCGGTGTCGTGCCGGTTCCGTCGCGAAACTTCGACAAGTCATAACTTATTCGTTATAACTCGGATTTCGGCGTTTTTTATATCTCAGGAATCCTTGTTTCGGCCACTACAACTTTCTTAAAAGATATATGCTTTTTCTAATATTTATTTTAAATGCTTATTTTCATTATTAATTAATTAAATCATAATAATTAAGCAAATAAGCATATAATTCACATAATACATAATTCCTCTTTATTACTTCAAGATGAGTTACAAAGGTTGACCTAGACTATTACAACATTATTAATGCTTTTAGTCCAGAAACACGGGCATTACAACTTCCCCGTAAACAAAACTAAAAGCAACATATACTTTTTTAATTTTCTGATTTTCTAATGTTTTTGGAATTTTGAAGTATTTTCTGAAAAAAAAAACCGAAATAACCCTATTTTTGGATTTTTGATTTTCTAATTTTTTTTTTGTTTTTATTTCTCCCCCAAAATTTGTGCATGGGTGAGAATGAAATTAAAATGCGCAAATTTAAACTAACCTAAAACAAAAATTAATCCTCAAAATGAATCATTTTCAAAAAAACTCACAAGCACATTGAATCGAGCTTTGTTAAAAGGCTTTGTGAACAGATCCGCCACATTATTAGCAGTGGGAACTTGTTCCATCTGAATGAGAGAAGGCTCATAGTAGTCTCTAACAAAATGAATTTTGATATCAATGTGTTTGGTTTTGGAATGTTGGACATGATTTTTAGTAATTTGAATTGCAGCTTCATTATCACAAAAGATAGGGGTTTCTAGATAGTTGAAACCGTAATCCAACAGCTGATGCTGGATCCATATAACTTGAGAACAACAAGCAGAGGCAGCAACATATTCCGCTTCTGTTGTTGAGGTTTAGACAGTGTGCTATTTTTTGCACTGCCATGATACCATCAGATCACTGTAAGTCCCAAATTTAATGATCCAATTTAGTAATCAATGAAGTTGATTGCAATAAAGGAAATCTGTAGAAGAAGAAGAAATAAAATCAAGCATGCACACATCTGTTGCTTGTAAATGTCAAGTACATCTTGAGAAAAGTACTGCTGCAGCAGAGTTCTGAAACCAAGCAACAAGTACAAACTGACACAACTCAGTTGCTTTAAATAGTACTCCTCCTACCAGCATAAGAGTGTGCAGCCGCACACATATGTGTGGCAGCAAACATGAATAGTTAACACACAATCACTGCAAAAATGACACTATCACTTATACAAAATGATACCTAGCTCAAACCACAAAATTATGTTCTTTCATTCTCCCCCTTGGTTTGAGACTAGCATAGTATTGTCTTCACGCCTTTAGCTCCTCAGCAGGCTCATCAAATAAACTCAGATCTGATCTCCCCATCGATCCCATCCACAATCTTCCATTTATGATCGTAGCCACCATAGCAGTGAATTCTTTAGCAGCAGCTTCCATGACATCTTTTCTGCAAATGATTTGATGACGGGTCAAAGTTCGTATATCCTTTTCTCTGAAACGGAGAAGATCTTTAGCACTAATCAATCTTAGAACATGTTCTCGATTCTTGAATTTGATGGATGCAGTAGCTGTTTCGTCATCATATGCCCAAAATTCCATGTCATCCAGATATCCCTCATGAAAATGTTGAGGATAGGAATTTTATTTTGTTTCTTAGTTGCAGGCCAGAGTATAGTCTTCATTGGTTCACCTGTTTCTGGATCAAGAACATCTTTCTCCTTTTTATAGGGCTTTTGCAGTCTTCATTGATGGAAAGTTCTCTTTGACCTGTCTGTCGATAAATCTTTTGAAATTTGAAGCATTAGGATCTTCAGAGGGGTTAAGGAATGGGGCCCTGGATAATTCAGCTAGATCAGTTTTGGTCCAAGATTTGAAATCATGGGTGCTTTTGTAAAATTCAGATGCTCCTGATTTTTGCTTTACAACCCACAAATTTGTCAATGGATCAAACGCCCAGATTCGGATGCCTGTCTTGTCACCATACTCATCACCGAACTTTCTTTTTTCAAATCTATTACTGTCAAGATAGGGTCTCTTGTTTTGTGATTTTCATTACAATTTTTCATGAATAAAAGGCCTTCGCTTTGTTTTGCAGTTACGATTCTTTTGCCCTGCTTGATTGTGATTCTGGCTCTGCTTCCTTCAGGTTCTTTTTCAAACCTGTTGAGAATTGTAGTTGTTCTTGGAGCAGGAGGGTTAACAGGAAGATCATCAGTTACAGGAGGTGATTGAACAAAAGGACGATCAACTACTCCATGAGGCTGTTGGAAGGGGGCTTTGACTTTTTCACCAAAAGCGTCGTACAATACGTTTTTGAGATTGAAATAATTAGCTAGAACAAATCAAAGACTCGTTTGTAGATCATTGATTTGTTTGGTCTTTTCTTCATCCTTTGCCCTGAGCTCAAAGATATGTGCAGAAATCTGATCCATTTTTATTGACTTTTCAATGATTTGTTGATGGAGAATTCCAATTTCTTCTCGGAGATCAGATAAAGAGGTTTTGTCATCATCTGTCCGACCCTCGTTAAATGATATTCCTTTCCCGCCTGAAGAGGTTGGACTAGATTGAGCAAGATGTTTTACCAATCTGATAGAAGCATCATCTAGAGAAGGTCGAGTTGGAGAATATTCCGGAATGAATGAAGATCCACCAGTCTCGAACATGGTACTTGGACCTTCATTAGTTTTCATTGGAGGGGAGTAAGCAAAGGTAGTAGTGATTGTTGAAATAACTTGAGGAGCACTTCTTACAGAGGGTACCTCCAGACTTTCAAGAGATTGGATTGTTCTCATGGAAGTCTGAGAAGTCTGAGGTTCAGTTAAGTCAGATATGACTGGAGCTGATGTTGAGACAGGTGACATAGAGGGAGGAATCTCTGATGTCACATCTCCTTGGCTTGTTGTGATCTCCAAGGGTTTTGAGGTAGAGAGCAGAATTTTGAGATCATTTCCTTCATCTCTAGTCTTAGTTTCTAAAGAAGCAACTTCATTGACTTTATTTACACAGCTGTTGGGAATATCAAGAAAAGGATCAAAATCTTCGTCACCAAAATCAAATTCTATGTTTGTTGGAATGTCGTCATTGATTCCGATAAAGTCGATTTCTTTCAAAAATTCCACATCTTCATAAAGATCATCGTCATCATCCTCTCGAGAAGATTTTGAATCATTTGCTTTCTGATTATCATGCTCATCAGCTACATAAGTTGTGGGAGAGTGATGAATCTCCTCCGCTTCAGGCTCGGAGGGGGAGAGATAAATATCTTCATTTTCCATCGGCATGGATTGTTTTGCTGATTCTTCTCTGACATCCTCTTTAAAAATTCCAAATTTTATTAATGGAATTTTTCCTTCAAATACCAACTTTCCGCCTCTCTTTTGCTTCATTAGTCCAAAGGCACTTGGACCAATGGATTTGAAATCCAAGGTATCATTTCCTCTCTGCAACTCGGGGTGAGTTACGTTTAGGATGATTTGTAAAAATCTTGGATACATATAAAATTTGTCTCTTTTGGTCCCTTCAAGATTTAGTATCATTTCATTCATTATGAATTTTGAGAAATTAAACTCAAAACCTGCTGCCAATGCTGCAATGGCACCAGTGTTGGCTAGAGAAATCTCGTTTGCTCCTGATCTCCGGCCATAAATGTAACCCACGAACACATGAGCCAAAAGCTTCCAACATGGAGGAAGCAACTTCTTGATTGTAGGAGGAAAAGTTCCTTCGTATCCCATATGCTCTAAAATTTCCTAAATTTGATGAACGTCAATCTCCATGGGGTACTCAGGTTTGTCCTTAATTTGAAGAGATTCTCTGATGATGCTTTATGTTACTTGAATTTTCTTGTCTTCGATTGTTGCTTCCACAAAATTTTCACCTCGGTCATTCTTCTTTACAACAACATTTCTCCAAAAATTCTTAATCAAACTTTGGTAGATAGCAGGATTTGTAGTTAGGCATTAAACCAAGCATAATTTCTTTAAAGCATCCACAATGAATTTCAAGTCATTATGGGTTGCAGGGGGGTCTTCAAGAAAAATTACGGAATTGTGGACTTTAGCGAACTCCATGTCTCCCATTTTAATCTAAAAGGCAACACAAAAGATTATTAGGGAAAAACTATGAGAATGATGTAGCCGCACACAGAGTTACATACAGCAGCACACTCACGTGTGCAGCTGTACACGGTCAACCGCACACAATCATACATAATATAATTGTGGCAGCACACTATCAGCCGCACACTCACGTGTGAGCTTTCCCTTGAAGACAAACAATTTTTTATGAGGATTCAACAGCTACCGATAGAAAAATTTGTGAAAATAATTAAAAAAATCAGCCGCGTTCATGAGAATTACCGAGTAAAAGCTTTGATTGCACAAAAATTTAATGGAAATTTTTAAGAGTTTGAGAGAGAAAAAATGTGTGTGCGGTTGAAGAAGGGAATAGTGACGGTACATATTTCATCGCACACACACTATATATATACACAGAATTTTCACTTTCTCCCCCTTGTCCTTTAATTATTTATACCAAAACCCCTTTCACACACAATTTTCTCAAAAATGAATTATTTTGAGGATTAATTAATTTCAAATTTCCTAAAAAAATAAAATTAAAATAAAATTGAAAATAAAATAAAAAATAAAAAATAAAAATAGGAAATAAAATGAAATTGTAAATACTATTGACGACAAAAATTCAATTTAAACCTATATAAATTGTTTTAACCTGTTGAGGATTAGGGATCAAAGCTTTTAGACAACCATTATCCGCTTGTCGGTACCTTTCATATTCACATCTTTCTCTGGTCGATTGTCGGTATTGTTGTCCACTTAAACACGAAAAATTGTGACAAAATTACGACACACTAATGAGTGACAAGACAATGTGATCCTAAATTCCTAGATACTATATTTAAACCTAAGTTTCTAGATACTATATCTTAAGGACCATTCAGCTGACGACGACCAGGGATATTGTTGTCCACCTAAATTGAGCAGCGAGCTCTATAGACAATCTGTATGAGTTCAATTTTAAGTGTACTGGAACATGTTTCCTGCTTCCAGATATGCCCCGGTAATCAAGGACTTCCAGAGTACTCCTTACATCGGATGAGCAGACCATCATTAGGAGAGAAGCTAGATTCAGAGTATTATCATTTATAGTGCATATACTGTGTACCAGGTCGGATGGTTAGGCACGCAAATGAGACAACATATGGCTAACAGATAAGAGGAATCTCATATGTATATATATATATATATATATATATATATACATATATATATATATACATATATATATATATATATATATGTATGTATGTATGTATAATATGTAGAGAGATAGATTTGCATATGTTACAGTCCAGGTCGGATCTCTTCCAATCACGCAGAGGAGGTAACATATGACTAACAGACAGAAAGAAAGAAAATGATTTTCTACAAACCTAATTTATCGGAATTTACTAGTTGCCCCATCAATACCGGAATTAAGGACAAAATCCGCACATAGAGGAAAAGTTAAACCATGGTTCCAAGTACGGGTTCAATTAATGTGACGAGTAGATTCCCATATATATATCTCCCTGCTCAACCTATCGAAGTGTCATATTGTCAAGCTAAACGGAACTATCTAGGTCAAGATTTGTCAAGTCGTTTAATTTCCTAAGTTCAAATTTGCCTAGTCTTGTCCATTTAAAATCTTTCGTGCCTACCGACACATCAAACCAGAGCATAGACCCTTCAACTTTGGGTACGTTACGCAGACTCAGGTTGCATGTTATGACATTATTATATCACTTCCCAGAACATCTCCCTCAAACAAAATTTCTAATTTTTTTTTTAATGTTTTTGGATTTTCTAATTTTTTTAATGTTTTTGGATTTTCTAATTTTTTAATGTTTTTGGATTTTCTAATTTTTTCCCCCTAAATTTGCGCATAAAAATAAAATAAAATAAAATGCGCAAATTTATGCAAAAAAAAATTAACAAAATTAATCCTCTAAACGAATCATTTTTAGAAAATTAACCAACACATCGAGTCGAGCTTTATTGAATGGCTTGGTGAACAGATCTGCTACATTGTTATCAGAGCGGACCTGTTCTAGCTGAATGAACGAACGCTCATAACATTCTCAAATAAAATGAATCTTGATGTCGATGTGCTTGGTTTTTGAGTGTTGGACCGGGTTTTTGGAAATTTGGATTGCAGCCTCATTATCACAGAAAATAGGGGTTTCTTGAAAATTCAAACCGTAGTCCAACAATTGATGTTGGATCCAAATGACTTGAGAACAACAAGCAGATGCAGCAACATATTCCGCTTCTGTTGTTGAGGTTGAAATGGTGTGCTGCTTCTTGCACTGCCATGACACCAGTCTATCTCCTAGAAATTGGCATCCTCCTAAAGTCGATTTTCTATCCAGCTCACACCCGCCATAGTTGCTGTCAGCAAAAGCATAAAGATCAAATTCGGGATTTTTCGGATACCAAATACCCAGTTTTCGGCACCCTTTGAGATACCGAAAAATCCTTTTAACAGCAATTAAATGAGAGAGTTTAGGATTAGCCTGGTAGCGAGCACATTGACAGACCGCAAACATGACGTATGGGCGACTAGCAGTCAGATACATGATTGATAAGATGATTGATCGATAACGTGTCTAATCTACGGATTGACCCTCAATATCAGGAGTCAAAAGAGGTCGTTCTGCCATGGGTGTAAGAGCAGGTTTTTCGTCTCGAAACCCGAACTTCTCCAGTACATCATCCACATATTTTGCTTGATGAATAATGATTCCGGCTGAAGATTGTTTGACCTGAAGCCCCAAAAACGTGGTCATTTCCCCAAGCAAACTCATCTCGAACTGCTTCTTCATCACTGCTTCAAACTCTTTGCAAAGTTGATGGCTTGTCGACCCGAAATAGATGTCCTCCACATAAATTTGAATGAGAATTTGATCTGGACCGACATGTTTGAGGAAAAAGGTTTGATCAATGGTACCTCGAGAATAGCCATGGTTGAGAAAATGCTGAGTGAGAGTAGCATACCAAGCTCTAGGAGCTTGATGCAATCCATACAAACTTTGTCTAACTTGTAAACATGGTTGGGAAGGGTTGACTTAACAAAACCAGGTGGTTGGTCAACGTAAATCTCCTCCTTGACCTTGTCGTACAAGAAAGCCGTCTTGACATCCATTTGGTATACAGTGAAGTTCATGTATGAAGCATAAGCAAGGAAGATACGAATGGCTTCCAAGCGAGCAACCGGAGCATAAACTTCCGTATAATCAAGACCCTCAACCTGCCGAAATCCTCGAACCACCAATCTTGCCTTGTTGCGCACAATGAAATCTGAATCGTCTTGTTTATTTCGAAATACCCAACATGTATCAAGAGATTTCTTTCCTTTTGGTAGCTCCACCAATTTCGAAACTCTAAGTTTCTCAAATTGATTTAATTCATCATGCATGGCTTCAAACCAGCTGGGCTCATTCAGACCCATTTCGACAGATTTGGGCTCTATTTGAGATATGAAGCAAGAGTAGAGACATGTGTTATCATCCCCACATTTACTTCTCATTTGAACGCCGTCGCCCAGCCGGCCAATGACGTTCTCTATCGGATGATCGCGCTGAATACGTGTAGGGATCTGGTAGCTAATATCATTGACAGAAACACGAATATTATGAATATTAACCGCTCCATCATTTGTTGTATGATCTGTAGAGAATGAACAAGGTTCGTTTGAAGAATCTGCTACAAACTCTTCAGCCATATTTTCTGGAAAGAGAAGTTCCATCAAATTTGAAGTTACAACGGAAGTCTCGTGGTTCATGAAATCTCTTCCCATCAAAGTTAAAGGAGTAGCAATAGAATCAGAAGAAGGTTGTTGAGGAGACTCAGAAGCTTCAAAATGAGTGGAGGGCACCAATGAAGGATCAGAGGAAATCAGTGGTGGTCGGTAGACAACATCATCTTCTTCGTCTTCACTAGGAATCTTCGAATTGGATGTAGATCCTTCTTGATTATGTAAAGACACATTGAATGATTTGAAAAGAGATGTGTAGTTAAATAACCAATTAGGACCCACTCTTTCATCTATCTCATTTTCCTCGAGCCAACGAACATCAAAGGATTCTACAATCTGTTTAGTCATCTTATTGTAAACCCTGTACGTAGTTCGAGCAGCATATCCAACAAAGTAACAGTCATCGACTTTGGCATTAAATTTGGGGTTGGATTCCAAGTAAAGAAAGGTGCAAGGGCAGCCAAAT